AGTGACAGCTATCGTTTTTCTCGACTTGAAACGAGCTTTTGAAACTATTGATAGGAATAGATTACTTAGTAAGTTAAAATTTATGGGATTCGGAGGGATGGTATTGAACTGGATTAGGGATTATTTGTGGGATAGGAGACAAAAGGTTAAATATGAAGGATATGTATCAGATGAGCAAAAGGTTGATATAGGTATTCCTCAAGGCAGTATTTTAGGACCACTCCTATTTATTTTATATCTCAATGATATATCTTTAATTTTAGAAAATACTAAATTTCATTTATTTGCAGACGATACTATAATATACCTATCAGACAATTCGATTATAAATCTTGTAGATAATATCAATGGGATATTGAAAAATGTAGGAGATTACATGGAAATTAATAAATTGAAATTGAATGTATCTAAAAGAAAGGCAATGATTATAGGAAAAAGGGCATATAGAGAGTTGTATTATAGTAATCAGTTGCAAATTGAATCAAATGATGAAGTTATTGAGTTGGTTAATGAAATTAAGTACTTGGGTGTCATGATTGACAGGGATCTAAAATTTAATGTCTTTGTTAATTACATTTGCAAAAAAATTGGTAAAAAAATAGGTGTTCTTAGAAGGGCCAGTGGATGTTTAACACCAATAACACGTAAATCAGTGTATAATACTATAATACTGCCACACTTTAATTACTGCAGTACTATTTTATATATTACATGCCAAGGGGATATAAATAGGTTGCAAAAATTACAAAATAGAGCAATGAGATTAATAATAGGTTGCGATAGGTATACAAGCACTGAGTTTATGCTAGCTAACTTAAATTGGATGAGTGTTAAAGATTTTTTAGAGTTTAATGCATTGGTTTTTATTCATAAAATCAGGTCAGGCCTAACACCAAAATATTTACAAAATATGTTGCAAACATTTGAAGAGTTGCATGGATATAATACAAGGGGAAGACAGAATTTTGTACTGCAAAGAGTGAGATCAGCTGCAGGCCAGAACTCTATATTTTCTAAAGGTATAAGTAAATATAATAGACTGGATCAAAATATTAAAGACGCAGAAAGCATAATTTCCTTCAAACGTTTATTGAAAATAACATATATATAATATTGTTACTGCCACGATTACATGGATATTAGGTTAAGATAATGGAGGAACTGTCTCACATATATTAGTGTAAAGTGCAATGTACAAATTAGCTATTCAGCTAAATAAATGGTATTTATATTCATTTATTCATTTAATTTTCACCCAACACAACAGAAATTGCAATCGTGATCCGGCTCACTTTTAGGACTTGAGTTCGGTCTTCCCTCTGAGTCTGGAAGTATTCTAGTGGTATGTTTGCTTCTTATGAGGCTTTCGACTACAGGAATTTTTCTTGGACTTTCAGCTTGAACACTAGGACTCTGAAGTCTTGATTGGAAATCTCTTTTCCCAATTTTCATTACAAAGGTTGGCCTGGAATGTAATCCATTTCATTCATTTCATTTTCCAAAAATTTCAGACAATCAATTTGCTCACCTTGTCAATTCTTTCTCACGCTCTGTGGTCACTATGTCACTTGTCTACTTCATACTCATGTAAACTCAGTCATTGACATTGACACTCAGTTCTCTGTCATAACAATATTATCATGGTTAATAATGTCACATATGCGTCAGACTAATAGAGGTTAAGGTCCCTCGTGCTCTTCCAGGATCTGAACTAAACAATTTTAGAATGTATTTTTGAAAATTTTACAATAACCTATTAGGGAACTTTTTTGTTAAATGTATGTCTGTTCCTAAATCCATTTGTACCTTTTTGTGAATACTTGATGAGTAAGTAATCTACACTTTCGGATTTGTTTTTTGAAATTTTTATAAATATTACTTACTTGCAGGTATAGCACTGATGATTGCTTTTTAGCCGAAAGCGCTTTGCGATTTTATTCTAAATGTCTGCCTTTCTAGTGAAAATACAGGATTGAGTATTGGTGGCGATGAATTGACCTAGGTTTCTGTTTCCCCAGGCTGTAATTTCCGCAAGAAATGCAGTGACAGCGTTGGTCTGCCTTCGTCGTGAGTTCTTGCTTTCCTGGGAAGAAATGACAATGGTATCAGACGATACACCGTCCACCAAAACGTGGATCTGCATCGAAGAAAGCTGGATGGAAGAGGTGAAACACGGTCTAATGCCTTCGATATATCTAACGCTACGACTACAGGTTCCATGTTTTTCTATTGATGCTGGCCATATAAGGGTGACGTAGGCAAGTAGATCTACAGTTGATGTTCGGTGGCGAAAAAGCTATATTGTCTATCATTAATGAATCCAGAGCTTTCCAGACATTTGATGGGCTCAATGTTGATGGCTTTCTCTATCACTTTGAAGATGACTGATAACAAGGCAATTGGCCTATAGTTGTTAGGAATGCTCGCTCTTGTTTCCGTTTTTTCGGATTGGCAAATGATCGACTTTCAACGGGTGGAATGTCTGACATCACTCTTTCCTGGGAATCCGCGATGGACTTTGTTGCTAACATCTCTGCAAAAATGTTTGCTGTCTCTTGCGATGTTGTTGCCAGTGTGTCGACGGCTTTGAAGAGTGGTGGGACAATACTATTAGTTCCGACTTCTTCAGCGAGGGACCAAAACGAACGGGAGTCATTGGAACAGTCTATGAGTTTTGATTCCATTTTGGCCTCGGATATTGTATGATTCACTTGATGCATCTATTGTTTGGCTGCAGATATTTCTTGCTTCAACACATTCTGGTAGGCTTTTGTTTCAAGGCAACAACTCTAGAACAGTTCTTGTTGAACCAGGGCTTCGAAGCTAATAGTCCTTTCGAAGAATGAGGTATGTATGTGTTTATTCTAAGCAGGATGATTACGGATATTTCCGCGGCACACTTTGCAGGATCCTCAGAATCGAAGCATATTCTATGCCAAGGAAACTCTGAGAAAAGCATGCGAAGACCGTCCCAGTCTCCTGAGTAATAATGTCATACAAGGGGGTGCTGGAGTATTTGATGGAATGAAGAATGGGCAGGTTATAGAGATGAGTGGGGTGATCAGAATTGCCAAGTGGAGCTCGTTCATCTATGGTGTGAGTAGCTGAATTGAGAAATAAGTCGAGTGTGTTGGCTGAATGATTGTTGACATCAAGAACTCGTGTTGATTCCTTGATAAGCTGCTGATTTCTGCTGCTGGATAGTTCTGCTGAATGAAGTCAAGCTTCAAGGACTCGAAGAGCTCTGCAAAAGATGGATTGGTGATGAGTAGCGACAACAAAGATATTTGGTCTCTCTCTGGAGTTCGAGTTTGAACCACATAACATCGAAATAAAAGTTGGTTCAAATTTTTTTTTCCGATGAAATGAGAGATTCGTTTCAGAATAGAGGCAGATGCCTCTCTTGAACCAGGAGCGTGAATGGATTTCGTACACAGGACATAGCATATAGGTGATATTGGTAGATGAATCGACCTGTGTCTTAGTCAGAGCCAATAAGTATGGAATTTCAGTCTGAAGGTGTCGATGGACATCGTTGATGTTCTTACTTAGACCACGGATGTTACATAGGTCTATGTTGAGGACTTTTTCAGCCGCTGGTGAACCCCCTTTCACCCGAAAATCCGAATGAGGAAGTATCTAAATTCCGGATAATTTTACTTGAGGAGAACTCATCATCGCTTTTTCTTTATCGAAAACGGAGGTTGGCGTAGAAGGAAAAAGAAATTGGATTGGGGTGGGTTGGCCGGAATCACCAACCAGCTACTGAAACACGGGTAAAGTATATCCAATTCACGATGCTTTTTAGTATCGCCCTCTATGCATGACATCCTCTATGACATCCCCTCTATCGTGGGGTTGTTCTACTACGACCGCCACACGGACAAGATCCACATAATCTCTCCACTTCCCAGGCAATCAATCATCAGAAGAAAAAACGACTATAATATGTTTTTGAATTTGACGATATTGTTTCTCGTATGGAGTATTGAAATACCGTGAAGGTTGAGTTACCCGACTATTTGCTCATTGGATTCCCCTGGCATTCTAGATTCAGTCATCGAACATCTAGGGAACTCAGGAATCATTATTGATAGACAATATTTGGCTGTTGCCATGAATGATCAACTGGAGATTCACTTGTTCGTATGTATATGTTACATATATGACAAGCCCAAAAAAAAACATGATGAATCTCTACAGATATACCGAAAGCATTCGACCATGACAGATTGTTTCCTGTGATAATGAAAGAACTATCATCTAATATCTACTGTAGCCATCAATTCCGGTGTCCCACAAGTATCTTTTCTAGCACCAACATTGTTCCTACTCCATATCAATGATGAACAAACAACCAAATTGAATTCATCGCCACCGGAACACATGCCTGTATTTCATCTGAAAATGCCGAATCATCGTTATGCCAGAAATGGGTATATCTGTCTGGTATCATACCATCCCCACAGGCACTCTATAGATTATATGCTTGATATCTACATCAATAATACTCTTCCATATAGGGAAATAATATCAGATTCATGACCAAATTGCTTCACAAAAACAGTGCTTCTCAACTCGTGCCAAAAGCTACTCTATACGTCAACAGCTTCTTATTATTACCTACAAAGCACAGTTCTGGTCTGTTTCAGATATGGAGTTCAGCATCTAAACAGACGATATTGCTCTTAGAGTCTTGACTATCATTTCATCACTATCAATACCAGTCCAACGAACTCAGCGAATTCATTCGTTTGTCTCAAGAAATATCGAACAATTTTTTATCAAAACTCGTTTGTTGCTAGAGCGGCAAAATAAGGAATTATCCCCAAGAAGTTGTGGACCTTCAAAAGTTCAAAAAGATTTTCAACACCTACCTCCTTTCTCTGTCCTCCCTATGAATGTGTGCATCATGTCCCTTTGAACCCACTTCGTATATAGTGCGTTTCAGAATCAACTGACCTCCCGTTTCCTGATAAAATACCCTTCATATTTTTCAGAAAACAAATGCTGACATAGGTCCGATCATAGAGAAACCAAACGAGGCAGCATTCATCACTGAGTTGCCGAGGACATTAATAAAATCTGGAAAATACAACAAAGTTCCAATAATGTTGGGATATTGTTCGAACGAAGGATTACTTTTTGAAATCAAATCTCGTTCCGAAGGGAAGTCCTATACTGACGAAAAACTTGATTTGAATGATTTCATCCCACCCGATTTGAACTTCAAACAGAATGATTCAAGAATACAAATAATCCGTAAGAAGTTGAGCAATTTTTATTTCGAGGGAAATCATGCAAAAAATAAGTATATGGTGAGTGGTCAATAATCGATATTATCTCCAAATATTTCGTAAAATTCCAGGTTCAATATTTCTTCAGGATATTTTAAGAACTTCACTCTCGATTTTGTTGAAGCTGTTTAGTTCATATGATGTAGGTATATGTCGGCGTCAAACAAACTCCTAATTTCGTACACCGTTTGCCTAATAGTTTCAGGCATTTTCTATAATGACGGAAGGAAGGTACATTTTACGAAAGCGCTGAACGGACATGATACTTTTTCTTTATAATTGCCAGTTTGAACTGATTTTCCCCGAGAATGAAATTTGCGGAATGATCCGTAGGCGAAATGCTGCAATCATTCGAGTGGGAAATTAGCATTCCCTGCGAGTTATACACCATAATTTTTCCACGGCTGTGACAGATAACAGCAACATTTTTGATTTCTTCGTCTTGTAGCCATCTGATCTCCTCTCAAGTAATGCGCATCTATTAGACAGAGCTGTCATTGCTTGAACTGTGACATTCCATTTGCGCGGTCCTTTCGTACGAAAGCGCTAAATGCCAGTTCAAACTGGAAATTATGGCTAATTGACAGTTCAAACTGGCAATTATGGCAAATTGACAGTTCAAACTGGCAATTATAGCTAAATGCAAGTTCAAACTGGCAATTTTGGCTAAATGCCAATTCAAACTAGCAATTATGGCTAATTGCCAGTTCTAACTGGCAATTATGGCTAATTGTCAGTTCAAACTGGCAATTATGACTAATTTCCAGTTCAAACTAGCAATTATGGCTAATTGCCAGATCAAACTGGCAATTAGGGCTAATTGCCAGTATAAGGGTCATGTCCGTTCTGCGCTTTCGTAACATCTAGGACGAGTCAGCTTAGGTTGTTTCGAAGCAGTAGTTTCTTCTGTTCTCTCGAGTAATTTTCTGAAAAATATACTTCCTAGGAAGAAGGTTCATTCAGGCGGAAAAATAGTCTCCCTTCCTATACATATGCAGAATGCAGAGAGGATATTATTCTTCCTCAACCCTCCGGCAAACAGAGTAACGGCTGAAAATGGAAGTTATACGACAATACGTGAAATGACTAGGCATTTCAAGGAATGACGGATTTCACTAATTGACGCCGAAATATACATTCTTTTCTGCACGAAAGCAATTTGAGTCCTCCAAAAGCGGAGTGAAGTGTGTCGTTTACTCTTTATGGTTAAAAAGAAATGTTCGTAAATCTTCTAAGATTTTCCTGACATTGAATTTACTATACGTTGGCAGCAGTGCTTATTGGATAGGTTTGTCATACATTTTAGCAATATTCAATGAAATTAGAACTAAGAAGAACATATATCGAAGACTGAAACCTTTGGCACGATAATGAACTATACACATACTGTTTTACCACAAACCAAACCGATTTTTTTTCAAGCCTACGCTTCTTTCAATCTTCTCCTGGAGATGCTAACATGGTTAGCAAAACACGTGACAAGGCGTGAAAAAATCGGGTTGGGTAGCAGTAAAACAGTGTGTAGTGCAAGGAGAACAAAAAAAAATGCGAGCACACTTTTTCGATGATCACAAAAAGAAATTTGGCTACTGTCATGGATCGGTCGTCATAATAATTGACCTCCATTTTGTGTGCCATCTAAATTTTCATATTCTCAAATTAGAAATGCCATATCGACAACTGATTTTATTTTGAGATTCTTTCATGTAATTTAAATCGCTGGTCGTTCAAAAAATAGTATAAACACCTCGAAAGTTAGTTTTTTCTCCTCATTGCATTGCAGCGCTGTCGGGCTACAAAAGTCCCTCGGGAAAAATCGTGCACTTCACTACCTCGCTACGAGTACGACATACATTACATTACATTTACATTATTTTCTTGATTATTTCGTTTTTAGTATTTCTATTTCTGTAGTGCATAAGCAAGCACACATAAACCACGGAGCTAAAGTTTTTTTTTAATCTTTCAGCGAATTGTGCAAACTTTTCGCATCGTGATTAAAAGTGCCACTTCAGTCCGCAGATTATATTCTACTACGGTTCATCGAGACGAGGAGAAAAAATGACAAGAATCCTGAGGGATTAACTAATTTTCCATCTCCTCGATTGACCTACAGAAAGTATTGGTTATTTCGATTAAATTACCTATTTCGAAATTTTCTGTATTTTAGTTGTATTCGGACTACTATCTGAATATTGGAATATTCAGTACTGCCAAAAGCCACGTTAAAACATCACAGCACCCAGTTTATCTATACAGAATGTCATTTGATGGTGGTTTGAACTACCTTAAGAAACTTCACAATATTGATAATTTTCCAGGATATGCATGCCATTCTGATGATGTTGGATATCTGTTCAAAATGAAAGGTAATATAAACAATTCGAAACATATTTTTTCCACTAATAGCTATGAAACCTACCATTATAATTACTCCTTTTCGAGGCGTAAAGTGTGTTTTTACTACCTTGGTATAGTTTTCATCATTTTATGAACCACTAGTCTATAAAGACATAGCCACCTCTGTTGTGATTAACCCGAATGCACTGTTCTGATCAGAGATTCGCAGGAATGGCACTCGAATCTGGTAGATATTTATCAATAACGACTTGTCATATATGCTGTCGTGGTCATGACTAATTATGATCGAATATAGTGCTTTCATAGTGACAATAGGTCCATATTTCGGTTTGACACAACTAAAATGATCGAAATATATTGCTAGTGGTGAAAAAAATGTAATATAAACCTTGGTAGTAAAGATTATTATTACCACGGGACCTTATACCCTTCGGCTGAAGCCTCGGGAAATTTTCTTAGTTCCTGGGTAATATTGATATTCTTGACTACCTTTTGTTGTATAAATAACTATTTCAATTATTTTGAAAGTACCTATATTATGCATGTGCCAGAATTCCTATTTTTTTGCTATGGCTACTGTGTGCAGTTGTCCTATATGCAGTGTGTCCCACTTACCATGCTTACCATGGGTATCTTTTTAACGGTGAGAGATACGAGGTCGGTTGAATGACACCAAATGTGGAGTTTGTCAAGGCCAACTATAATGTGAAAAAATATTTTGATAAAATCTATTCGTTTTTGTTTTATATACGCAAAAAACAGATTTCGATCATTTTCATGTCTCCTCCGTAACTTCTTTATTTATGAAAATATTCAAATAGGAATTTCACATTCTCATGGCAGTTTTTCGAAGTGATTTCGGAAAAAATATGAAATTTATTCCAACTCTTCTAGAATTTGAGATATCAGCACCAACTTTAGTTTTTCAAATGTAGGTCATTGCTCACTATGACTTTACTCTACAAATAACTTTTTTTTCTCTTACAGATGATATGTCGCAGTAATAGTTTTGTGTTGATAACAACGGAGTTACCGTCATTTATACAAAAACAAAAAATTATTTGGAAGCCGCCATCTTGAATTTATGAATTTTAACAAAAAAATCATGATCTCCGACCTCAAAAACCCCCACTTACCAATTTTGAATGGAACCGGACCAAATCTTGTCCGCCATCTTGTAGGAGCCATTTTTTTTTAATTTCAACAAAAATTCCATAATGTATCGTCATCGAAATCATGAACACCTGCCAAATTTCAAGTTGATCGAAGTTATAATAATTCTGATTGCAACAAAATTCGAATATGACAGTTGACAGTTAATATAATTGACAAGCCGTACAGGACTCTAACAAGTGGAGGTGTATTTAAAGAACTGTGTTGCCATGGTGATGTGTTTGAGAAATTGTGTTGCCATGGTAACGTGGAATTTTTTGAATATATCTAAGATCATCAATCCGTGATTAATCGATTATTTAGCGTTTGCGTGGTACATATCCGTACGCGAAATGCCCTTTCACTCATGTTAGGTGGTTCGAATTACGTGGACGTTATCCAAGCAGTCAGGAATAAATAAGGAAACTATAGAATTTCGGAGAATTATAAGAATTACTTGGTTGCACAAAAACGACTCACCATATACTAGGGTTCCGTTGAAGTACCATAGACTCCCTCCCACTTCACGAAGAGCCCTTTTGGTTGGATAGCAGGAATACAGGATATTGGCAAAGATAGCACACACCAAATGTCACTAGTAGCGTTGATTGATATATTACGCTCTAGTAAGTATTCTCGTAGGAAGGAGTTTGGTAATTTAAATAAAGCGAAGCATCGGAAATCGCCTGTGCTCATCAATAATGTCAAATCAAATTGTCAAACAGTTAATCAACATTATTTGTTCGCAAATTAACCGTTTCGATACGCTTTCACTCAATCTGCCTCCAAAATGGAGAATAAGTGATATGCTTAGTTGAAAATATAAAGGCATACTGGTCACCTAAGCCCAGAAGGTACTCACATTCAGGTGTATTTGCATTAAAAATAATATTTTTTCTTCGTTTCCGAACAGGCTGCATTCAAGAAGAATACTTATATGTTTGTGCTATACATATGCTACGGAAACTATGACATACCGTTTGCGCATGTCCAAGTACACCTCAACCTTGAAAACATGCTTAATGCATGAATAATCCAGGAGGAGTCTTTCATATATCATTTTTTAACATCAGAATATATTCATAATGATACCCTACAAGAGGCATATATCATATAATATGGCCAATAATTATGATCGATTTAAAATGCAAAAAATCAGATAGTAATATTAGGAAATCAGGCATTTTTTCGATAAAAAAAACATTTTTTTTACTTGAGACACAGGAGAGAGAATCCCTATGATGTTCGGAGAACATCGATCGTGTGTACCTAAGGAGGATAACTCTGAGGATAGATATAGGAGGTGTTGGTATTGGACTTCTCTATAACTTTTGAAGATACTGTGCTTGTCGAGTGTTCCTGACGATTAGTATTGCTATAGTGATGAAATTTATGAAAATATTTCCTGTTGAAGTATCTATAGGAAAGTGACAAGTTGCGAACTTTTCTCATTCCTCCTACATTTCTGCAGGTTATATGTCTCGAAAACACCTCCCTTGGCAATGTGTTCTCGAGCCTCGCTGTTCGTTACATAACCGAGTCTTTGGGAAGAGATATTCTGCAGGTCTCTAAAGTGACCACGAAGGGCGTGAGAAGCCTCAACTCGACGGGTCAATCTGGTGGGGACTGCCAAGGGAGGATATTTCAGAAGAGCATCGTCCATGAAAATATCTCTAAAATAGAGCCATATCGCCAACTTTTCTACGGTGTTCCAGAAAAGTGAGTGAGTTTGTGAGCGAGGCATCACCCACGAGACAAATTGCCCTTTTTTGGACAGAATCCAACAGTTCCAGGTTATGTTTGGGTGCTGCACTCCAAATATGGGAACAGTATTCCAGGACAGGTCGGATCTGTTTCTTATAGATCATGTGCAGCTGACTGGAAGTGGAATAGCTTTTGGCCCGAAACAGAAAACCAAGTTTTCAGGATGCACTTTTAGCAATTGATCTCACATGATTTTCCCAAGAAAGGTTATTGCTGATAGTAATACCGAGCATCGAAATGGATGTTTTCAAAGGTATGGTTACTCTGACATGCCTATGTTGGCCACAGAGAGATCGGTTTTTCTAGTGTGTTATTGGATCCTCATTCGAGAATTTTCATATTCCATATTTATGTTGTCAACATTTTTCCCTCGTTCGTTTCTGATTTGCCTGGCTGGTATTGAAGCCCTGAAAAAGGCTATATGGAGGGTACTTTCATCCGCGAAGCTTTGTACTGGACATGAAGTTGCTTCCGAAAATTCGTTTATATGGAGTTGAAATAGTGTTGGTACTATAGAATTGATCCTTGCGTAACACCAGCATTTATGATAAGAGAGTCAGATGAAACTATCGGTGGACCACTACATGAAGAGACCTGTTTGAGAGAAAACTAGCTAGCAGAAAACATTGCTGGGGAGGCAAGCCATGAGATAAAAGCTTGGAGAGGGGTCGTAAGCGAGCAGGTCACCAGTTGATCTCTCATGACGGAAGCCATATTGTCTATCGTCGATAATACCTGAATATTCCAGGTATTCCATGAGCTCGATGTTGATAGCTTTCTCCATACTCTTACAATTTTCCAGTTGGACGGGAATATCCCCAATTTGTAAGAATAGTTGAACAACTTGCAGAGACCAGGTGTTAGTTCTGGAGTACATTCCTTGAGAACAATCGGTGGGATTCCGTCGGAGCCACAAGCTTTGTTGGTGTTGAGACCAATAAAATCTCCCTCAGTTCAGAGGTTGTTTTCCCGATGAATCTAGAGTGGAATTTTCAGCAAATAAATGCGCAAAAATGTTGGCTATCTCCTGGGCAGTTGTGGCGTGTTCCTACTGCGATGAAGTTGATCTATAGGAGGGTCTGAATTTAATCATGATATCATAACAGTTTTCAAATAAGTTTCAAACGGGAAATGGATAATTCCCAATGAAAAACGCCTTGTATGTGCTATAATCGTGAAAATTGAAACATACGTGATTCAGAAGTCTTACAACCTGCTGGATATTAGTATCTTGGTAAAATAATGTCTGATATTACTCATTAATTTTCTGCACATTCAATTGATCGTAGTTAGGAAGTGTTATAGTGCAATGAGAAAATTGAGAACTCAGGAATGTGTGGATCATACTGTCATACATACATATTTTGACAAAAAAAAATAGAAAATTACCAAGGGTGGTGCAAGTCGAAATGCAAGACACTATATATACTAGATACGAAGTGATGACCTCAAAATGAAATTAGTTAGCGAGTCAACTTCCAACCCGGTATCTTATTGAATGACCTCGTATAACCCACAATAAAAAAAACTTATTTGTCAATAAACGCATGTTCACGCTTGTACGAATTCCGCAAAATTTATGGGAATCGCAATATATGAAATTTTCAGCGGAATAGCCATTCGACAAAATTTGCTGGAGGTAAGGATTCTGTTATCATATATAATTTTTTTATTTCTGCTCTGACCATATATACAATTTCCTCAAATTGACGGCACGTTACACGAAAGCACGAAAGTAGTTGAAATATTCATTAGGATAATCCAGTCGCATTTCTCGAGTGAGAATGTAATAATCTCCATAAATATTGCGGCATTCAGAAATGCTTCGAACACTAAAACCCTCTTTTTTGCTAATGTACACATCATTAGCACTAGACTAGACGACTTACACAAATGATCCAGAGAATCTATCCTGCAAAAAAATGCAATCAAACGAAGAAAGATCATATAATTGTGTACCTATTATTCTATTGTCTAGTCTAGTTTTTTTTTCTCTAGGTTATCAGAATAACAATAACACATTTTATGCATACTGTGTGGTTGAAATATCATCCGAATTCGTCAAAAAGTTCAAATATTTCAACCTCATTGCGATATTTTCAGCCGTCATTGTATTCGCATAAATTGGACCCCGCAAATTTTCAAGGTAATTTGGGTCCTGGTGGATTTTTCTCGATTTTTGGTATGATGTAGTTCATTTGATTCAATTACATATTGGCATTGCGCCAACCCCCAAAAATGAACAGTTTTTTTGCTAGGGGGGGTTGAATTCACATTTTGACCGAATTGATTATTTATTTCTGAGAGAATGAACAATATTCTAGAATTTTTCATTTCATCTAATTTCTCCTATGAATATATGCTTTTTGAAAAAAATATAGTGAGGGGGAATTATTACCCCAAACTCCCATTTTGAAAAACGAAAAAAAAAGAGAATTCGCCTAACCGTCAAAAGTGATAGAAAATGTTCCATTACCCAGAATTATGGAAACCGCCTTTTTATATTATTGCCCCTCACCGAATGGGAGGCGCCCATGAAAAAAAAGTTCGGTGGATTTCGCTGAATTTTCGATATGATGTACTCTATATGATACTGATCAGAAAATAATTGGGTGACAATCCTGAAAAATGGACAGTTTTCCTGCTACAGGGGGTTCAATCCACATTTTGAACACATAAATATAGACTAGATGAGTACCTATTTGATTCTGAACTTCTTTTCAATATATCATCTCCATTCCCTATATTCCCTAACAATTATTCATCAAAAAATATTTCGAGGGGGGGGTTCCTACCCCTTCAAAAAGTATTTTGAGAAATATAAAACAAAAAAAACAGTGTTACTGTATCTAAAGAGCATAAGAGAATGATTACCTACGTGAAATTATAGCAAAAGCTCTCTTGAATTTCTATGAGGTGCTTTTTGTGATTCCGATCAATTCCGATTCCAATTATCGGTACCGGTTACCTACCAAAAATGAGCAGTTTTTTCGGTAGGGCGTGTTGAACTCATATTTCTCCTTTGTGAGATTACCTCGAGATGAATGTGTATTTTTCTTGACGGGTACAGAATATGTAATATGTATTTCAACTATTTTTTTTTCAACACAAAAAACTCATTATTTCGCCCACCCCAACACCTCTCAAACAAATAATAGATATCAAATTCAAGCTATTTTTTCATATATCCATCAGAGCCATAATCACATGGAATACAACCACATTATACCTATATTAAAAATCTAGTGTAAATCCATGCACCAAAGATGTTTTTCATGCGCACCCCCCCCCCACTTTGTGGAGAGGAGGCAATCATGCAAGAGAGCTTTTTCCATAATTTCACGTAATTAATCACTTTCCTATGCTCTTCACGGTAGCACTGTATTTTTGTTTTATATTTCTCAAAATACTTTTTGAAGGGGTAGGAACCCGCCCCTCAAAATATTTTTTGATGAATAATTGTTAGGGAATATAGGGAATGGAGATGATATATTGAAAAGAAGTTCAGAATCAAATATGTACTCATCTAGTCTATTTATGTGTTCAAAATGTGAATTGAACCCCCTGTAGCAGGAAAACTGTCCATTTTTCAGGATTGTCACCCAATTATTTTCTGATCAGTATCATATAGAGTATATCATATCAAAAATTCAGCGGAATCCACCGAACTCTTTTTTCATGGGCGCCTCCCATTCGGTGAGGGGCAATAATACAAAAAAGCGGTTTCCATAATTCTGGGTAATGGAACATTTTCTATCACTTTTGACGGTTAGGCGAATTCTCTTTTTTTTTTCGTTTTTCAAAATGGGAGTTTGGGGTAATAATTCTCCTTCACTATATTTTTTTCAAAAAGCATATATTCATAGGAGAAATCAAATGAAATAAAAAATTCTAAAATATTGTTCATTCTCTCAGAAATAAATAATCAATTCGGTCAAAATGTGAATTCAACCCCCCCTAGCAAAAAAACTGTTCATTTTTGGGGGTTGGCGCAATGCCAATATGTAATTGAATCAAATGAACTACATTATACCAAAAATTGAGAAAAATCCACCAGGACCCAAATTACCTTGATTTGCGGGGTCCTTTAGCGGAATTCGTACTAGCATGAACATACCTTTCAGACTGCAATTGAACTCAAATTCAAGTACTTCGACTCATAATAAATATTTATATTGAAGGTATTCCTAACATGTATATGGGTGAAGATAAGAAGAAAACTGTGAGAAGATTCGTACAACTGTGGATGAATTTCGCTAAATATGGAGACCCGACTCCGAGTGCAAATAGCTTGAAAATCGATTGGATGCCGATCGACGGTCAAACAATCAATTACTTGGATATAGGAAGAGAAATAAGGACGAGTGTCAATCCAGAAGCAGATAGATTGGACTTATGGAGAGAAATTTATTGTATGAATGAATTCACCTGTGATTACTTATAAGAACATATTAAAATCTGAGAGCTTCCTCAAATTTCAACACTGATAGTGTGATTTTTATTATGTATGAGATTGTGATATATTATAATGGTTTGGGCTACACTTCTCATCTTTTGGTAACCAAATATTGATAAGTGCTGATCGCGGTACCATCAATCATTCAGTGTCAATGTATTTTTTTCTTGTTGATAAAATTATTATTTTGGGTATATTCCTTCTCAGTTATACATATACAAGGTGTCCGAAAAGGTCAGGTCTCAAATCATAGGCTAAATGATCACGCGCACTGAATCGACTCGGATCGGTCGACTCGACTCGGCACAGTCGGCACATTTTGCTATACGCTCTGAATCGGTACGGTCGGCTTAGACCGCCCAGATCGTCTCGGCATCGGCAGAGTATGATATGGGGTAAAAACTGCCGATTTCACCGATCGCTCTCAGTGCTTGTACGATTTTTGAGCCAAAGAAGTGTATGAACGAAGCTGCAAATTCGAATTTAGGACGGATATATCATATGGTATGATCCCTAAAATATTTACTACCACGACAACATTTGTATAGGTTTCCTCTTGTGAGATTGGTGTTATGAATCGAAACCTTGGTTTCCGTTTTTTATATTTCTCCACATGCTACCCTAATAGCACACAACGTCCTAAGGACGTCCCTATTTGGTACAATTCAAGTCCGAATGTCCTGGACCAAAAATAAGTCCCATCCCGTACATCTCATGCAATGTCCGAGCAAGGACGTCCACGGAATGTCCCAGCAGGTACATCATTTCAAATTTCCTAGAAATAGCATCCCCAAGACGTTCCACGTGGTACATATTGTAGAATGTACAAGCAAGGAAGTTCTTGACATGCCCCTGATGGGATATGATTTCAAACGTTCTTTTGTAGTACATATTCTGGCATGACTTCAGATCTTATATAATGTCCCTCTTAGACAACCATGAAATGTCCCTGATGGTACATTCCTTCAGATATGTCTGCACAGACGCCCTTAATATTTCCAGGATCGTATATAACAATCGATATGTCCTTTAGGGACATCCTTCGAATGTCCCTTAAGAATATCCGTCGGATTTCCCAATAATTGGTACATGAACTGTACTCTCCCAGTCGGTCGGTACTTTCAATATGTTGTCCTTGCGAGGACGTTAACTTACACTTCGCCGACGAATGATTGCTCGTAGGCTAACTAAATTATCTCATATTATACTAAATGCGCTTTTCAGTGAATATGTTTTATACCGGATTGCACAATCTTTTTCCGTTTAATATCGGGATTTTTGACAGAGGTAACAAATTTGACATCTTGCTTTCACCATATGATTCCTACATCTATTTTCAACGAAAATAGTATTTTTCTAAATCTAATCTAAAACATACATCTCAGCCATTTCAAAGGTAATAAAGACTTCATTTATTGAATAACATCATGGTACTGAACAACAAAATATGTAGATTCAGCCTAACATGCCTAATAAAAATTAAGCTGGTTTAGGAGATACAGGGTGTTCAGGAAAAAGATTATATTTCCAAATTTTTTTCAACAACACAGTTTTATCAGCATGATCATTAAATTTTGTATTCTCATATTTTCTGACATAAGAAATAGGAATTTGTAACTCATTTCGTGATTGCTCATAGAGGGCGCAAGTATGGTTCTGAAATTGTTCTGAAATTGTTTTTATCCCTCATTCGGTTGTCCCCTTACGAGAAACCCCCAAATGTCTTCAAGAGACTTATGTGCGAGCAAGGAATGACGGGGTACTTACCTTTAAACGTGTGATCCCAACCACTCCATATCTCTTTCGTCCATTGAATGATGAATATATAATAGTAGATTGTTTAATTAGGATCAAAAGTGACACTTGCATTTGTGAGGCGGAGTGTATAGCGAAGCCAAGCGGAAGCAAAATTTGCGAGTCAATCAAAGTCACTTTTAATCCGAATGAAACATGCTATTTTTCCTGCAACCGAAAGAATTGACTGAAATGAATATGTGAAGTAACCACCAATGTGACTTACTTGACAGATTATTAAAATACCTTGCAAGTATTCAATACTATACCAGAAACGTGGATGCCGTGCCAGATGTGTGCAATGCAACAAATAATCCATTTGGTGGGAATATTTCTACCTGCATTTCATCTGCATTTACAGATCAGGTTTATTCGATTTTCAATGATGTTCGGATTGTAGTTTCAATATGAATACAAACAACCACAGAGTGACGCATTTGTGTATTCTATTGAATTGATGAATTAATTTGGACCAGGTGTCAGCCCTGATAGCAAAAACCGCGCTAGTATAGGAAAAATAAGTGGAAAATGTTAGGTTAGTAAGCATAGCAACAATGATAGAAGCATCATTTATTTCTCTCCATATTCCACGTTTGGCTCGGTAATCAAATGAAGGTAAACAATATCGTTGTCTGAATGAAATGAAATACAGATCAAGCGAGTATGTGAATCTTGAAGGCTCTCCTGATCAAAACAAAAATACTCAACTATAATATGGTGTATTTATATATCCAGCATGGGTACGGGATGGCAACCCTGCCGAAATCAGGAACAAATCAGGTATGCGTCCCAACCCAAATAACCAACTATCACAATGTTGTTTATTCTTGATGACCTAGTTCATCCTTTTTAGTTGAAGTTCAACTTCAGTTCCTAGGAACTGAAAGTGTTGCCTAGCAGCATACCTATATTTATGTCAGTGATAGAAACGTCAATTCAACAAGTGATTTTGGTATTGAAAAGGACGACTTTTGCGTAGGTTGCAGAAAAAATAATTTCGCATTAAAAGTTTATTCTACTTCAAATAGTCAGGCTGTCACAGTTCATGCGTTATTTGCTCTTGAAAATGTTTGTGTGAGCGAAGTGACAGTTAAAAAGAAGTAGTATTCAATAATGACAATTACTACCAACGCCAACAACAAACAGAATTTCGAAATAAATGTTTGACCAAAGTTGTGGAGAAATTTGAAATACAATGTTTCCCTTGATAGCATCTGCAACATATGTATTTGGCATGTTGGGCTACCTCTTCGAATTTTACTGTTCACTATCTGTAGTTCAGAGAATGCCCATTCTCAATTAATCACCTTGTATAAGTTGAATGAGTAGCGAAGTTTTTTGTGATATGGGTTTGAAGAACAATTTATTTTATTTAGATGATATTATTACAATAATACATAGTATGTTTTATCCAGTGTATATTTTGATAATCAGACAAATCAATACATATACCTACCTAATACCTATACATCAAAATCTAGTTAAAATAGCCTAATCTTTCCCTGAAAACATTACGAATTCTTCGTAGTATTACATCACGAAACTGTATGAGAATTCCACTGGATGATTGTATTTGGCTCTGAAAAGGAAATCAGATGAAAATATATCAAAGGCATACATCCACTTCTAAGGGTATTCTTATAAGTCGTATTTATATCATTTCGAAACCATATGAATAAGTGCAAAAAATTGCATATTATTTTCAAGGTGAAAAGTCATGTTCAATCAAGCAATAATCAACTTCATCATTTCCAAGAAACAACATTTGTTTATAGCAGGGACCATGGAGAATACATAAATATACTTATTTGACATAATAAAATGAAGAAGACAGTAAAATAAGACTCACAATCAGAAAGAAACTTTTTTTTCAAGTTCAACTGAAAATAATTCTCAATTGACTCAGCTGTTAGGGACCAAATAGAAAACTATAGTAGTTGTACAAGAAAACTATAAAAATGAGATAAGATGTCAATATTACAGGAGTAGATGTTTCTTGAATTCTATTTTAAATTTTCTTGACAGAAAAATGATCTGCTTGTCTAGTTGTATGGTTGTGGTGATTACTATTAATTTGAAAAACAAAATTTGAATGCTTTTGACAATGTTTAACTGAATGAATGAACGACATTAATTTGAATTTATATAGTGAATCTATAGATAATAATTCTCTTCTTCTGTAAAGGTTCATAGTAGGTTCCGAATAATCTAGTCTGTATATACATTTTATGATTTCATTTTTAGTTGAATGTCAGGAACACTTTCAATTATGTTACGTAGGCTTAGTTCTAAGCAGACGCATGATGCTGAACTTATGATTATGTAATTTGGAATTTGCTCATGCTCCATTGAAGGATGTGTGGTTCACATGATCTGAACACAATACACAATATTATTGAAGGAGCATAATATATAGGTATGTTGGTGAATTCCATATCTAATTCTCTCCATTTTTACAAAAAGAAACACATATTCTCATGGAATATCTATGCTTATGTCAAGGGTTAACGTTTGTGGATGAATACCACGAATATTTTACGACAAAAATTGATACATCGAAGAATATGTTTAGAACTAAGAATATGCAAATGTTGCACAGATCTGTCGATAGTCTGTTGAATGTAACCACAAAGATATTACTAACTGATTGTTTGGTTGTTGGAAGAATTGCCATGATTTCATTCAACCATAAACTAGAGTCCCTGTATGTATTTGACAGTTTTGCTGTAATAAGAGTACGGACACTATGACAAGCAGTGACAGAAGGCATAACCACAAATTCTCAAAATTATTTTGAAGGTTTGGTTGAACAAAGTCATGGATGGACTGCCGCGGTGAAGGGTACATCGATATATATCCTTCAAGTTAATTAATTTAATTTTAGGATGCACTTTTTCAATAGAAGAATCAGGATTTAGTAGCCAGTTCTGCTGAGCGGAATGCAAATGAATGAGAAGAACAATTCAACCATCAATTATTAACAAACTTATATTCGCTCTCATGAGATACTAAGACACTTTATAGTGCATGATCGATCAGAAAACTCGACAAATATTATTCCATCAAATATGCATCATATTCAATCGGAGAAATGAATATATAGGGTGTTTGGTGCATCGTGTGCCAAATTGAAATGGTCGAATAAAGGGGTCATCTGCTATCCTTTGAAAGTTAGTTCACACATTTCAAGCCTTGTGCATGATGGATTATTTTTAATCGTCTATTT